CTGGAGCTAGTTCTAGGATTTAGAAAGGTTGGAGTGCTGTACATGTGTGTTCTTTTTCGACCATTTAGAAATGTCTCAGTCAGTGTTGCTTTTTTCCCTCTCTATTTTTTTTTGGTGGGGGGGGGGGCAAATAGTAGTATCATAATCTTAATCCCAATATCTGCTTGGAGATTACATTTCAGCTTCTGAGATTAGTGCCTCAGCAGTTGCTCCTCCCTTCCTTTAACTCAGCGTCGTGTTTTCTTATTCGTGACTTTGTCAGCTACATTTGTCATGGACTGTAAATCTGTGCTCACATCCTGTTATCGTAACCTATAGCACAGACCCAGCTACAATACCTGCCTGGGGACATCGTAAATTTGTGATACTAGTACTAGAGAAATAATGGGACAATGAAACCATTTACACCACTTGACATGGGCCATTCGTTCCGCCCCTGTCCCTTGTGTGAGTGTCAGTGAAAGTGTATCCTACTCTGTCAACAGCTTCGGGTGATTTCTCACTTTAATTGGAGTTCGTCGACTCAGATTTACTGACCTGAACAGCTTTTCTTCAGACATTTTGTGTTGCTCGTAAGCTGAATAGTTTATTCCCACGTAAAAAGCGCCATCAGTGGTTGCTTTTGTCAAGTTAGAACTTTGATTACCATTTTCGCGATCAACTGCGCTGTCCATGGTGACTCCATGCCGTTCACTCAGCACTGTTGGGTGTAGAGCTGGAGCCTGGACCAAGGGATGTATAGTCTGTAATATTCTCAATCCTGACTAATTAAATGTCAGTCGCTGATCTGTACTGATCTCAAACTCAAAGCATCTAGTGACCAGCACTTGACCAGCTTTTGACAGCCAGCAATTATCAGAACCAGACACACGGAATAGTCGGAGAAGGTCACAATGTTCCCTCTCCACATCTACTTGAAGGTGAGCAGAAGACATCCTCCCGTGTCCAGGGCAGCGCCCTCCCTCTCTGTCCCAGAGTCATCAGGTCGTCACGGTCACACCGGACCATTTGTGAGAAATAAAAGCCTCCCTTTGACTCGGAGTTCTCTCCCATGACCTGTACCGGTCCCGTAGGCTGGCTTCTCGCCTGCCGGGTTCTCTTTGTTCTCCTTTCAGCGAATAAGTGGCTTTTGAATGGTAAGTTTACGAGAAAGAACTGTTGCAAGTCACTTGTGCAAGTAGTGAATCACTAAAGTGAACACATTCTCTAGTTTAAGTCTTTATGCCGGTAAAACGCTTCAAGCTACAAGCTTCAAAATATCCAACTATAAGCTACAAAATAGAAATACAAAACCAACCTTAAAATTATACCTCTTCAACAACAATAGGACTAACATAAATATAGATAAATAGATAAAAGCTTGCTATAATCATGTGGGGCTAAGATCAGTAGGGATGAGGTGGAGTGCGTGACTCCGTGGGACAGGTAGGGAGGCAGGGGTGTGAGAAAACTAGTCAGCAGACAACAAATGGATAGATCGATGCACATTTTCCGCTCATCTAGTTGTTAGTTTGTTTTCATAGAGATGTGTCAATCATCTCAATGTCAACCATCAAAGCTTTTCGCCTTAACAACTTCGTGTGCATGTTCATGTCAGCTTTCTTGTGAATTCCTTATTCCTTTTTCGTCCAGCCCCTGTGAATTTCCCATTCTGTCCCCAGATATGGTCCACCAGTCTTCATCGAGACTATACCAATAAACATTACCACTAATCGTGCAGTAACGCAACCATTGAACTCTATCCATCCCACAGTTGCACTGTTGCGGTCTGTGGCTACAGTGAATAGGTGTAGATTGGCCATCACCCAAACGTACTGCGATAGCCGCCACCAAGCTCCAGAACTAAACCCGCACAGGGCTCACATTTCCAAACTTTGCGGACTCTGTAGAGCTTGACTGAAGGTAAAAGCTAATGCTGTTTACAGATGCATGACTGTAATCTCCAAGCAGATGTATGTTCCGAACCCTTCTCTCTACTGTGAGAATACTGATGTATGTAACTATATGTCAAGGTCTACGATGAGCGCTCGAGCCTAAAGAGCGATACTTGCAAGATCACTTTCACTGCGTCTTTTTATGCGTCTTTCGGTCTATCGGGCTCTCCTTTTAGTACTGGATGGTATCTTCATTTTACGCCAGCCTACGGATGGAAAATAGTAACTGTCTGCCAAATTCGATACTGTCTTTGCAGCCACCAGAAGGTCTGCTTGGAGAATACTGAAAATGACCCAGTCTATAATAACAGAGGTGTCCGCGCAGTTAAAGGGAGCCTTGCCATTCCATAGCTTGTTATCGCTGACAGGCATGCAGAGATGTCACAAACCTGTCTGGCAACCATTATAAACTAAACCCCAACGCAAACATTGCGATAGCATGCAATTGAAAACATCCCACAAGCCCTATATAGAACCTGACAGGTACTAACTACATCAAGATCTCCTTGAGCGCTCGAGCCTAGAGGGTGATACTTGCAAGGTCACTTTCACTGGCATGTCCTTATCTTTGTTCAAGATGATGAATTCTCAAGATACAAACATGAAGGAAACACCAGGCTGACAGCCGGAGACACTACCCAGCTGATGTTAGGCAAGTCAAAACAACACGTTTTATCAGCGAGCTTTGTAGTTTCTACCATGGCCACAGATAAAGTCTACAGACACCGCCGGATATACTAGGTTTTCTACGAAATGATGACAGACGTCACTCACCTTTGTCTATCTGCAGGAAGATCCACAAAACAATCCGACTTGTTCAGCTAGAGGCTCTCCCTCCTCTTGGTCAGTGAGATGGAAAACCGGTGGGTACTTTTTCCTCACACAAAGTCTTAGCAATGCCAACAATTCCCCGCTTGACCAGTCAGGACGGACCTCAGAAACCAATCTCCAAAAACTTCCAACACTCTCCAAAACCCTCTCAAATTCTTGGTGTTCGCACGGACCCGAGGATATGAGCTTCCTCAGGAGACAGCCTTCAAATTTAGACTTGAGGAGACAGGCCTTCTATTCGCCCTAGTTGTGTCAGGAGCGGCAGAAGTGAGCCAGCAGAGATGTGGGGCGATGTTGGCACGCGGGCGTCCTAGAGAAACGAGTAGCTGATCCTGTGAACGACTTCCTGATGACGTGAGCTCTTCCTGTGAGAAAACGCAGCAGGAGCCACGGGAAAGTCAAACAAGGTAGAACCAACTTGTAAATTCGCGAAAAGAAAATAACAGGAAAACAGCAGCTCTTCAAAGCTCACTCGATCTTCTAAGCATCGCACACAGTCACAGTCTGGAGAAGACGCTCCCTGCGTTATGTCTCCTGAGACCCGACTGTTGGCAACATACAGTAAACTGTTTACTGAAAATTGGGCTTTGAGGGACTGGGGTTTGATTGACAAGGTGGCTCGGGGGAGGCGGGGCCATTGTAGCTCGTTACACGGTCCAAGGATGATGAATCCTGTATACAAAGGGGCCAATTGTTTTCCGGACAAGGAAAACAAATCTAGTGAAAACCATTTAGTGAAGAAACAAAAGGAAATCGCCTTACTGCTCTCATCTCAAACAGATTGACTGAATAAACTCGTGCCATCTTTTGAAAGACCGTCTACACTGTCTACATGGGATTTGTAGTTGTTGTTTCCAGAATTTATCTTCACCTAACCTTTTATTTGCTAATCCCCGTGACTCCCACGAGACTCCTGTTCTCGCTACTGTTCCAGTATTCTCGGAGATGCGAAACAAATTGTTTATGTAGTGTATGTGAGCTGGTCGCTTTGAAAATAACATGTCCCTGAAATCAGTTTCGAGCTTTTTTTGTCAGCATGTCGTTGGTTCGTAAATTGTGCAACTTACAGGTTTCTTGTCACAGTATGATGACTATCAACTGATGTATACGTATGCATATCCAATGGGCCTAGACCAAGGCTGTATAAATATAAACTGATGTGCTACGGTTAGCTTGTTGAAGGTTGTTTGGCACTAACGTCGTTAGTTGGGACCGACAAGCAGAACTCATTACCAAGCAGCAAACTTGACCTTGCAGAAGATGAGGAGATAAGGGCGATATTAAACATTCCAAGGAACATGGCCAAGTCAGAGCGACACAACACACCTGGGGGAAAATGTTTCCCACAGAAGCAAAAGTTAATGCTTTAATTACCTAGTGTTATTTCCATGTAGAATGTCAGGGTGAACGCAAGAGGATGTTTTCTTACCCCTCACCGATTTCAAATGCTCTGTCCTCCTGTCTTCCCTTTCTTGGCCCTACCTCTGTGCCAAAAGAAGGCTGAGGGAGAGTTTTACTCTTTGTCTCTCTCTTAGGATCCCCCATAGACATAAATTCAAGATTATATTTCTCCCTTCAAGCTCAGAGGTTTAAGGAGAGCCCTGTTTGCAAAGCCTACTTGCTCCTACCATGGAGTTAAAAGAGTTAACTCCATGCTCCAACACAGCATAGTAAAGCACCACCCTACAGGTACAAGAGGTCCGCCTAATTGCAATTATGTACGGGTTCGTGGCCCAGATGTGCCAGGTTTGTTACCAACTTCAAGGTTAGGCAGGGAGGCATTTAGATGTGCATGGTTGATAAGACACACTTGGCTAATGACTGTTTTCTGATGGATTTCATATCAAACAAAAATGTTAATAGGTGGAAATTCAATCCAAACATCATTTATGTATAAAGTTACAAAATATTTCCAGGATGTCAACTAAAAACTTTATGAGAACAAAGGTCATGACCTTTATGGACAGGGTCAACAGCAAGGTCATGGGGCAACACAGAAATAACCAGCTCCAGGTTTCAAACCCAGTTTGGGTCCAGCTTATTGACATATTCGTGTTGATGCCAAAAAAGGTAAAGTAGCTGCAGATATAACTTTTGATACTGAAACTAAATCTTTACAATGAGAAGGAAAGCATTTTGCTTGTGGCAAGGAGTAACATGTACAAATACTTTTGTTGCTGTCCATGTTAATTGCTCTCTTTAATAATAGAAGATGCCAAATGGAACATCTACAATAACTTTAATAATACATGTGCTTTATGAAAACCGGCTCCACAACCTTATACGAAAGTCTCAGTCAACAGTATTTAACACTGTGTGGCTCTACTTCTTGCAAAAACATTGATGATGAGACTTGTTAAATCTTCTTACACAAATATACAATGTACAATTGCACATATATATGTAAAATTTACTAAACAATGGTATAACAGTAAGTCTGCTGTACTCAACAGTCCCATTTCAAAAGGCACTACATTTTCACTGTCACAACTTCTTGGAAAACATTTCTACACTGATGAACACAGCATCCTGTCTTACATTGTGAATATTAAGAACTTCTTTTAGTAGAGTAAAGGTGGAATAAGTTACTGCACTTGATGTGTATATAAACGTCAGGTCCTTGAAAGAATAATGCCTGTGATGTTCAGATGTTGGCTGCCTGAGCCTCCACCTCCTTCACCACAGTCTGCACCATGTCCATGGTAGAGTGCTGACCGCCCAGGTCTGGGGTACGGATCTGTGGATGGCATACAGGTAGAAGTCAGGAGATTTCTGGCTTTGCATTAGGGCTGTATGTAACTACTGCCTGTACCTGTACCTGTAAAATCATTTAGGTACAGCTCCAGAACATCTGGTGTACCTGTAGTCTTTATCTAGCCATTACCAATTTTTCAGGAGCAGCAAAATGTTCTCAGACCAACTCCCCTAGCGTATCATCTGCGTATTTGGCCAATTTCTACTCTTTCCAGCTGCTTCCCAAAGCCTGGTAGAGGCTAGCCTATAGCTACTAGTATATGCCACCGTAGTTACTGCTGGCTTTCCATGGTAGCAAGTCGAAAGTGTGTTCGTGTGTGGCTCATAACGAGTATTCAATTTGCCATTTACGACTGCATAAAGGACGCTGTTTCCTTGACCCTGAACTCTATCAAGTCAAAAGTGACTTAAATCAAACATAAAACTTTGGGGTAGCGAGTGAACTGCAAGGAGCCCCATTACAAAACGGATGGCACCCAGGCTATTCTGAGCCAGCCCGAGGGAGAAAAAAAGTTTCTGGATCAAGTCACCCCTCCTGAACTTGGTTAATGGAAAGTCCTAAGTTTATACACCAGTGTTAAGGTGCTGGTGAGGGTTGGCAAGGAACCTTCCATGGCCAGGATTACGCTTATCTCAACACTATCAGTTCCTACAGCTGCACACAAGATGTGAGGAAGGAAGCAGGCTAAGCCCTGCATACCAGTCTCTGTGTGAGCTGAAATAAACATGTCACTTCAAATGTAGCCACTATTTACCAGCACCTGACTCCTGATGAGTATCCACTATTTCTAATACCAGTACAGAGCAGCTTTCACCATGATTGGGACAGATACTGTGGCGTTGGTTTCCTGAATTCTGGCTTCCTGAATTCTCCCATGTCGACCTCTAATACCTTCTGGGATGTTCAAGTTCACCTCATTTCCTGTGTCTGACCTTTCTGGCCACCTCTCATTCTACTTGTCAATTTTTCTCTCACCCAAGTGAGGTCAACCTATCCTGTCCAGATGAACGTACCTACCAGTCAACTTTGTTTCCAAACATTAACAGGAAATGTTGCCTATCCCACATGTGGAGGAAACATCTGAGAGATATGAAGACTGTTGTAGAGGTGCCTGGCACCCCTGTGTTGGAAAGGTTAAAGGTCAGGTTTGGGTCTGTTGTCACCCTGAGGAGACTGTCAGGGGTACCAAATAAGATCCGCAGATGTCAGTCCTCATCGGGTCCTCTGCCAAGATGTCTTGGTGGGAGCTTGATATGTTTTCTTCCTGACAGGCATCTCACAGAAGATCCTTCTATATTCCTTCTGGTTTTCATTACACTTCCATATGATCATATGTGTATTGCATCACATATCATTCTGTGATGTGTATTCATTATGTGTATTACGTACTTGCAGCAAGAAGCTCACACTTCTAAAGCCTAAAATCCAGCTGTATTATTCACCTGCTCTCTAACCATTTGCCAATGAAGTGATTCAAGTGCCTTCAATACTCTTTTTTTTTTCAAAACAATCAAAGTTTTCTGCAGGGGAGGGGGGGATTCTTCAATTCTAGCTAGGATCTATATCTACCCATACCAGGATTTCCTGTGTGATTTCTTCTTGGAATAAAGCACCAACATTGTCTCAAACAGTCACACACTAACATCTACACCAGGAGTTAATGATAGGCCACAGGATCAGGAGGGATTGTCGCCCTCTCCTGGTCTGCATTAAACTGTATCCTCCCAACAATTTTAAGTGTCATCGTATATTCCCCCTGGCACCTGGTGTACATAAGGGTGGCCTAAAACATCTAATCTAATTACCTGCCAATTTGATGGTCTGTCTATCAACTGTTCTGTGTGTGGGAAGGGGATGTTGTCATCTACAAGCAGATCATACGGTGGCAAGGCAGTATCCATTGGCCAGAGTAGAGTCCATTCTTCAGTGGCTAATGGACACTCCTGTGACTAATGGATATTGCCTTGCCACCGTATGATCTGCTTGGAGATTTTGGATGTTGCTGGTAATAATAGCCCTTTCCTAGTGCACTAGTCTCGGACCTTTAATAGAATGCCGATGTGTCCTGATGAACTGGAGATGCTTGGCCATATATACTACATAATATGCTGGAGGAGATAGCTAGCTATAGAATGAAAATTTCTGCGGGTTGTAATGTGTACAATCTGATGTACCTTTTGGACAATTTTTACTATTTTCTGGCAACCCTTTGTAGTCTGGTAGAGACTACTCAGTATAGGTCTATGTGTATTGCTCAAGCTGAACCAAGTTGGAGTTCTAAAGCCAGCCCTATATGTAGCGATTAATACCAGCTGTCACAATGTGTATGTATACCTAAAGGATAGATCCTCACTGAACACCTGAGAAAACATAGCTGAGGAAAGGCCAGTCTTGTTTCCCCAACAACAGCACTGAAGGCACAACTCTCATAACTACTGGACTAGAACTGAACTTCAAACAAACAACTGTGTCAGGGAAGTTTACCTGGTCACAGTCAGCACAAAGGCAGGAAGGGAATACACATGTGGAGGGGATGTTGTATTCTACATGATTTCCTTTGAACATTTCAACAATGCATACCAATAATAGTTATTTTCCAGAAGTGTCAAACAGCTAACAGTGTTGATTAATGACATTTTGACAAGGGTTGAAAAAGAAGGTAAAAAAAGCTCACACCAAGAAATTTTTGTCACTAAGTAATCTTCAACACAATGTGGAGTAGTAGCCTGGTTACCAAACCTATTATAGCTCCCGAGTCCTACATCCTCTCTGCAAATAGGAGAGGATGTAGGACAGGTTTTGTAAGCAGGCTAGTGGATCATGGAGTAGAAGATAAAAATCACAGCACATTTCCAGATTTTTTTAATCTCTTCCTCCCAAAGGACAGAAAGAAAACTGTGCCAATTTCCGCTCTCCCCCCAGACTTTGCATGGAGATTAGCCGTTTCCCCCCTGCATGGAAGATTCTGTTTCACCCACTTTAGTCACTCACACCTGATCAAACTGTCCGTGTCCTGACTTTGACACTGATCTAGAACATGTGGGGAGTATTTCAGACATTTGCCAGGTCTTGTGGCTGCTCCCAGGGTTTGGCATGTTTTGGCACCGAGGCAGAAACTCATACAGGTATCTTGTGTTTATTTCTTAAGCTTGCTGAATTTAAAGCGACAGAAAAATATATCAATATTCTAATTTGAAGACGTCATGATAAAATAACATCATCCATCCATCCATCCATCCATCCATCCATCCACCCACCCACCCACCCATCCATCATTTTTATCATTCATTCCCATTTGATATACCATATCTTACCTTATTGTCTGCAAGAGCCTTGTACACAGCATTCTCTATCAGGCTGGCATACATGTTCAATCTGTATAGGTAGGGTAGAAACAACAAGAACATTTGGGGATAAACCATTTATACTTAACTCATTTAAAACTAACTGTAATGCTTGTCACCTGTACAGGCTTGACATCTATGATCCCTGTAAATTAGGCTCAGATCAAAAAGGGAAATTCTTGTATATTCTTTAGATCAATGAGGTTTAAAATCAAAAATTTTAAACCTTCTTGTTCATATTTAATACAAAATGAGCCAATGAGACTGGTTTCACACCATCCACACCTGCTACCCCACAAGTTGATCTGTGGCCACCAGGGTTTATTTATCTGTACCCGTAAATTACTGGTAGCCTCAGAAAAGGGAAATTTGGTGGTGTACCAGCTTTGTTTCACCATTTGATTCACTACAAAATGAGGTAATCAGGCTGGTTTAACTCCATCCACACCTGCTGCAGCAGTATTTGGTCTGAGGCCAGCAGGGTTTATTTATCTGTACCTACAGGTATCCCAGTAGGCATCACCCCAGGGTTGGGTACACAAACTTGGACTGGAGGATCTCATGTCAACCCTGCCCTGGCACACTTACTAACAAACACACCACATGGCTACGTAAACTCTTTACACTCTTACTGCACATCATTACAGTCAATGACCATATATATTATACACAGTTCTTACTTCCTTGTGCTTTTGCATGTCGTTCAACACTGTGGTACATTGTACATACGGGCTACTTTGTCAAGTTGAATAATCATGCACATATGTACAATCACTACAACGTATGTCTGTAATCTGTGTTTTATGTAGATCTATGTCTGAAATTGAAATCTTTCTTTAAAATAAAAAGTGACAGTACTGCATGTTCTAAACCTTGACAACCTGTAAGTTTGCTTTACATGTACTTCAACACTGCAGTGCATTGGACAACAAACATGTCCTGCTGTAGCCCAGGATGTGTTGGATCCATTTGGCAGCAGTACCTCCGTGTGTTTGTTGATGTTTCAGTTGGCGTGGTAGTTAGCCAACAGTGATGTGCCCAGTGGAAATGTAATATGTTCTGTGAGCTGCCTTTTGCCACACTAGTGTTGGTCTAGGTAAAGACCCTGTCTAGAGTTTCCTAGATTTAGTTTTGTCTCTGTAGGGGTATGTTACTTAAACTCTAAAATCCACTTTAGTTTATGACTATTCAGTGAGCTCTAGAATTATTTCGTTTCTAAGGTTGTTTGGTACATGGATAATTTGCATACCCGAGGTGTTCCAGCATGAGTGAACTTGCCAACAACATGGCGGTCGGGTTGGCAACATTCTGCCCTGCAATGGACTTCCCTGTGTTCCTGGTGGCCTGAAGAAATAAAACATTTGTAGTCATATCTTAATCATATTTGAAGTCATGTCACTACAAATCAAGTGAAATCCAGTATTCTGGACATAAAAAAACAATTTGCCACAATTTGACTGCTTGACATGACAGCTCAGACCAGGTGCCATGCAGTTGGCAAAACAGCACCTCCTAGTAGACACCTTAAGTACTGCAGATATGTAAAACTTTGTTTACCAGAAATATACATTTGTAATTGAATGGCTGTAATAACCTGATCATTTTCACCCATTTTACAAGAACTTAAATCAAAACAAAAAGAAGAACTGAACTGTTTCGAACACGGCGTAGTCCTCCCCGATGTTCTCTCCCGGCACGAGCCCCGGCCCGCCCACCAGCCCTGCGCCGATGTTACTGATGATGTTCCCGTACAAGTTGGGCATCACCATCACATCAAACTGCTGAGGGCGAGACACCATCTGGAACAATAATGGGATCAAAGGTGTTATCTATACTACAGCACTCATATCTACAAAAAGACAAGAGGCTGTATCTCAATATCTTAAAATAATGTACTACTTCTTCTGATTTCTGAGTTTGCGAATTTTAAACATCTTGCATGGACTTTGCTGATGCCAACAATAACCTTAGATAGAGCAACTTCCTACTAAAATAGAAATTACAAGCATATATTAATGTTATGGATCCCGAGAGGAGACTCTACTATTCCTTGTAAGGTATAGCAGAATCTCCCCTGGGAGAGGCTGAAACTAGTTGCTTTTCTGGAACACTGTGTCATCAAGATGTTGGCAAAGCCTTCCTTTCTCCTGATGGCAATGTCTACTACTGTAACTCACTGCCCAGCCAGCTGCCTTACCTGCATGCTGCAGTTGTCAATGATCATGGACTCATACTCGATGTTGGGGTACTCTTCTGACATCTTCCTGCAGCACTCCAGGAACAAACCATCCCCCATTTTCCTGTACAGAAAAAAAACATCAGCAAACTCACCAAAACATCATACAGATACAATAAACAAAGAACAATACTGTAATGTGAAATACATGTATAACAACAGAGTGTTCATATCCAACAAGTTTTTTGATAATTTACAATGCACTATATTCCTCTTTTAGGCTTTTATACAGCTTCACAATCAAGCATATTACATTTAGAATTATTCTTAACAATGTTTGTTTTGACAGATGAAATTTCCCATTCATAAATAGTTTCCTCAGTTGGCAGACCAATTCATAGTTTCTTTGGTACACAACACAACACAACACAACACAACACAACACAACACAACACAACACAACACAACACAACACAACACAACACAACACAACACAACACAACACAACACAACACAACACAACACAACACAACACAACACAACACAACACAACACAACACAACACAACACAGTACTTTTCTCAAAGAAGAATACAGGTGCACCAAAGATTGTGTAATGAATAAATCTTGACAACATACTAAGCTACTGGCAGTTGTTTTATAAAAAGGTTCTTACATGATGTTAGCCTTGTGAACTGCTGTCACCTTCTTCCTGCCGTGTCTCTGGGCGTACTCAAACGCGTATCTGGCGATCCTCTCTGAGTTCTTGGCTGTGACGATCTTCAAACTCTCCACAACGCCTGGCACGTTCTGCAAAATATTTCGTCTTCATTTTCGCAATCCATACTTTTACATGGTGGGTGGGTCTCCAAAAACAGTGGATTTTGGAAGTTAGAATAAAGCAAGACATTTTCATCTAAGATAAGATTTAATGAACCTCATGCTCCAGACTGGTGTATTCTCCCTCAGTATTCTCCCTGATAATCACAATGTCAATGTCACCATGTCTGAAATGTACACAAAAACAAACTGTTATCAGAATATAGTACAAAGGTGCCAGTCACAGTATACTCAATTACATCTTAAAAGAGTGATGAACATCAAAATACGATAAACCACACCATCTTCAAGAGTTCTGTTTTGGTCATTATTTTGAATACTGTATACAAATTTCTAAAGGAAGTTTTTCTATTACATATGTCTTAGTACATAGAGTAGACTTTTAAATTACAATACTATAAATAAGTTCTGAAGGTGCACATGTGGAACTTATTTTGAAAGTTGCGGACTTACCTTGAAGGAAGTCCAGGGAAGGTTTTACACCTCAGCACGTTGGCAAACAGGTCCAACCTCACTCTGAAATGGACACAACAAAACAGCTTAGCTTAATGCCTATACTTGTAGTGGCCCCAGGGTACCTTTGGGTACATAAAATAGGCAATGTCTCATGCTGATTGTTTTGTTTTTGTTCAGAACTTGGCAACTTTAGAAAACAAAGCAAACTTAAACTTCTCCATAACACTCTAATCAAATTTTAGAGTATAAATAAGACTACTAGTAAGAATACTAGTAGGTATTTTGAGACAAGTTGAATAAACATAACATATACTGCAGCAATAAACTAGACTGCTAGAATAGTTGACAATATGTCAAGATTATCAGTACATATCAATGTTTGCATACACTAATCTTGTTCTAAGATGAAGCATGCAGCAGACTTAAGCAGCTAGAAAATTCTGAAGAAGAAAAAAAAGCGAGTGCTTGTCCATGCATACCTGACTGCTACATTCCGTGACACACCAAACGTAGGGTCGAGGTGTAGAGTCTTAAGTCCACCTACGATGCAGCGTACATTCCAAGCACACATCTCATTAACAAATCACACCAAAGCAAAACGCCTGGTGGTTAGCAGGAGGGAGGAACAGACAGCCTCGCTCTAGGATCTACATGTAGCCTTCACCGGGCCTTCCAAAGGGCTTTTAGGTCGTAGAATTCGACAAAAGTAGAGTCTAAGGGTAACATTTCCCATTTACCTAGGCGGGGAAATAAACTCTATGGTGGCCAAACTCTCCTGGCAAATCATTACCCTATTTGGCCAAATTTTAGAAGTTTTCAGCCCATTTTGTTAGTCTGGTCAAGGACATTATACACTGTGTATAATGTCCTTGGTCTGGTGAAGACTCATCTACATGTATGTGTGCATGATGCCAAATATGTTACCTTTGGCTTCGTACTGAAACTAGAAAATGTTAAGGCTATGCATTTTTATTTTTCTTAGCACCGAATAGTGTGAATAACTTCTTTCCATTTTGAGTTTGCAGATGAATGCTCTGTAGAACTTTTCACGGCTTTAAATTGAGCTACAAAGCAGCTTTTTGATCAGAAAACGGTTATTTACTCTTAGATACATGTAGCCTTGTAGTACGCCTTATCATTATTTTCATAATTAATATAATTTTATCACAGAGAAAGGATAACATATTTTGGCACTTGGGAAGAAGCAATATGGATCACTGCTGCATCAGTCAGGCCAGGCGCAAGCACCACCTAGCAGACTACGAGGGAAGTGCAAGCTAGGGAACCACCTGACTTCCACATTCCTGGATTTGAACGCGCTGAGGGGCATGTCATGTGGCGTTTCAATGTTACCTTGGGGGGAAAGATGAGTGAGATGGAAGGGTCAAGAAATGAAAGGAAAAAGGCAGAAGCAGGATTTAGATGAAGTCCAGCCTAAAACAGAAAAACGCAACGGCAGCCAACAAAACAGGAAAGTAAAAGACAGCACAAGCGCACACCATAGGGCACACACACACAACTGCAGAATAGGGTAGCGGTTATCTTCACCTGATAGTCATGTTTCTGGAGTAGAACAGAGACATGGCGGGGTGGAAGAAGTTGCCTACAAAAGGGGTCACACGGGTAAGACAACATTGACCTGGTAGTCCTCATGTAGTGGTGGTCATTTGTACAGGTTTCACTGTATGCTGAGGCTTTCAAAAAGTACAGTGTCAAACAAATTTACATGAAAATTTTGAAACCATCTGAAGGCTAATTTCTCTAAACTTTTGCAGTGCTGTTTTGAAGAGTCTGACTTTGAGTAAGTTAGTTTGCAATCTTTTTGCATCTGGTATCACTGAATGTCCTCATTTTAATTCCAAACATTTCAAACCAGATTTGGAAAATTATGTTGTACTGTTAGATACAACAGCATTAACTTTTACTTGAAGGGAGGTCTGGAAGCCAGGTTTGTTGGTGGACTGGGACAAATAGAGAGAGTACAGTACAAATCACAACACATGTTGGACAACAAAGCCAACATAAATGTAACTCTTCAAACACATAGCGTATATTCAAAACAACATCAACAACTTAACATTACATATAACACCTCAACAAGTTTTTTTCTAAAAGCAGAAAGAATGTTTCAATCAAGAACATCATGATATTGAAAATTACAGCAGACTCTATTACACAATTCATAACTACTTAAAAAACTGCTTGTAGTTGATAAATACTGTGGCTATAATCAAGGAAAGGTTAGATGTATACAGTATAACTTGACACAAGAGCTTGAGGTGATAGTGTGGATACAAGCCTTACCCTTCAGAGCCACACCGTTCCGTTTGATGGCAGTAATGGCGTTCTCTATGGCCTCCTCATCTCCCTCCTGAGACGTGATCTGGACCTCCTCAAAGTCCACAGGCACTCCTGCATACCTGTACAGGGATATCAGTTAAATCTACACGCAGTGGCAACTCAAGAGAGTTTGGGAAAATGGTCACAAGTCAGGTCATCACTACTTAGTACACTATTAATATTTAAAACTGTTTAGTGCACTTTAGTTTTTTAAAAGGAAATATCCAGACCCCTGAGACATGAAGATGTTAGTAATACCTGAAGATGTCCTTGACATGTCCCATCAGCTCAGGCCCAATGCCGTCTCCTGGGATCATGGTGACGGTGTAGCGACCCCCATACTGGGACGATGCACCCTGAGGTTAACAACGTTTTATGTTAGATTGGATAAAACACAATAACATTATGGGTGGAGTTTTTTTCTTTTCTTTTACATTCCAGTTGTCACATTCAAACATAGAAGTTCAACTGTTGATATGAACTAAAATGCATGGAAAACTGTGGTAACATTTTAATGTGTTTGATAAAACAGTGTTTGATGGTGTTGGATGGGATAAAGCACAATGACGCATGTGTGGTGTTTTTGAATTCCAGTCACATTCAAACATAGAAGTGACATTTTTTATTGATGAAAACCAAGTGCTTGGAAAACTGTGATAACATTTCAACCATGATTCAACCAAGCTACAAAACAGCAAAAGAATACTCAAGTCAGTAAGAACTTGAAAAAAAAAATTTACTCAGATCTACTTGTGATGTGTGCATATGATTACTGCTCATATTGATAAAAAATCTGAGAGAAACAGCAAAAAAAGTAATAACAAGCTATTGTAAAATATCTTCATGAAGCAAACTCTAGCATTATAAAAAAAATGTCACAAAATCATTGAACCAAAACTGTCTGCTTTCAATACTTACAACTGTAGCAAGCTGTTGAGAATACTGACAAAAGAGGAGGAAAAGGCAAGAGCATGTGCATGAGATGACATACAGAAACCAAATCAAAGCCACCCAATTGATAGCAATAAGTATATAGATTCACATAATTAAAGTCATTGTTATATTGTTATTGTATAGAATTAGAGATACACATGTAGCTGGAATGGGGTCTTTGGGAGCAATGGAGGCTGAAGTTGTAGTTAATTACAAGTATGACTAATACATTTGTAAGTGTACCATGCATAATCCATGTTATTGTTGTTAACTGGTTTATAGAAGGCAATGGCCAAAGTCAAGTCCAACATTAGTACTGCCATTATCCCTATGTTATAGTATGTATCAAAAGATATGAAAATGCATGTACATCAATATATCACAATATAAACATCTAAAAGGTATTCAGAACAGTAGCAGATTGATTTGTATAGAGCAAAAAAACATAAAAAACACATGTGATTATTGTATTAAGAAATCTGGCATAATGTAACTAGGAGTCGAGTAGAGCCGGTGCCTGTGGTCATGTCTTTATATCTGTAGCCTATAGCTAGATAGCTAGGACCAGTGATATTTAAATTCTAGCTAGTTTTTTGGTTGAAAGATTTCTGCATGATACTCACGGCAGCTGCTCCGCTGTGCAAGTCTCTAGTCTGGAGCCCACATGGTGCTGCAGACTGTTGATGACAATACAAAGATTCAAAAATTGCTTAGGTCGCATCTGTTTCATCTTCTTCGTTCTTGACAGCTTGATCATGAGCCTCCCTCGTCATAATGATGATTTTTAGACATACAGCAACTATCAGTAAGTTCAGTGGAATTTTTAGCAGAAAAGAAAATCTATCGTTTATGATTGTGACCAAAGTTGGTGAGAAATATACATCTAACCAAAGTTGGTGAGAAATATCTATCTATCTATAGTTACCGACGGTGAAACCAACTCGAGTTGAAGTTATTTTTAAAACTTAAACTTATAACAGTAAAGTGACGGAAAAGCAGTGACCAAGTTCTGGGGAAAGGGGATCGGTAGGAATACATATAAAGTAGATCATACGGTATAATTTAAGGCATCATATCATGGTACAGACAGATAAGTACTTTCTAGACTAAAATACACCATCCATGTAAGGTGCTCGCATGTTTACAAACGCAGTGGGACGACCTCCATATGACCGTCGTCTGCAACTGATGAGAAAATATCGTCGTCACAATTTTATCGGGGTATTCTGATAAAACTAGATAGTTTTCAGCGCTGAAGAATGTAGCAGTCGTTCCTTGTATGCTAGAGAGACTTTTCTGACCGATCTTACCCGGCTGAAGGCCTTGACCGCTGCGCTAGCAGGCAGAGAACGGCAGAGGACGGAACATTTCTGCAACACGGACGCCATTTTGGGTCACGGCTGTCCTGAAAGGTCATAATCGCCCGTACAACTGCGCCCTCTACCGGATATATGGTAAACTGCAGTAGTAGGCACCTGTTGGGAAATCCTGACACTGACAGAACTTGTTGTTGCCCTTGACAATTTGAGACACAGGTAGCTGCATAATCCCATTATGAGCTAAGTACATCTCACAAGGAGGTTATGTGTCTGTTTAGCCCGGGTACCATCCGGATTTTTGCTACGCAGGCTAGTGTCTCTTGGAGGTTCTGTATGATGTTGGAATCTGACAGCTTAAGTTACAAACGATTGCCCTTAAATGTAGTCAAACCTGTAACCTGTGACTACACTAATAAACCACTAGCTACTAAGAAAAAGAGACAATGAAAACAATGAGATTTTCCTGTCGACTCAAGCATTTATTAAGGTATCATAAATGAAAGTGGTAGCCAATTCATGGATTGTTCAACTTGTTTATCCCTCATACAAAAGCCATGGCTGCATCTTACTAGATGCATAACGTTATATATATGGACTCCATATGCCAAAGTAGTAGCATTAGGGCATCCTCTCAAAGAAAGCTGGCACTTAGAAATTTGAGACTATCTGCCTAAGGAGCGTATCAGTTCCTGAAGTTGTTTTCTTTTCTGCTTGACACTTGCACTTGTGACTGTCTCCTTGATGTGACTGCTGTCCCCCTGGAGAAGCTGTCTGCACAGGTGTTCAGTATTGCTGATGACATAGACTCCACAGTCATAACCTGAGAACCATTCAAACAATACAGAACAGAGAAAGAATGGTCAATCAATGATCAACAAGCAAAGCAAATCTGTACTGTGCTCTTAGTATCTGTATCTGTATTGTAAAGCTGATATACTACATGTAGTAGCCCCCTTTAGTGTAACACACCAACTTCACACACTTCAAAATTTCAGAAAACATCTACATGTAGTATGACACAATTTGCCATGTACTTTGAGTTACAGAGATATCAGTCAGCTAAATGCATATATATCACTGACAACAAAAGATTTAAACTAACTTACAAAATAAGCACTTCGCACAATCAACATTAACAGGAAGACAAACATATACATACCATTACAACAATATCTATTAGCACAAGTAACTTAATGACTTACTATTTTGCTGATGTGGAGCATCCATCTCCTTGAAGGTAATCTTTGATGATTCTGAAAAAATGTCAATAAAAACTATAATGCAATTTGTAAGCAAGTGTTACTAGAGACCTCCCCCCCCCATGATGCACTTGTCAATACAAATCTAAAAAGGGTGTGGTGGGACTTTTAGTAAGGATTACACAAACATTACAGACAAGAAGTACTGTACTTACCTCCTAGGAAAGGCTGAACTCTTTTAACTAGGAGTTTTGCGGCTGCTGTGTTACCACTTCCATGAGAGGAGTCGTAATGTTGGAATTCTGCCACATCCCGTCTGTATAGTAGTAAACTCCTGTTGGAGGAAATATAGGTACAATCAGTTGACATGATAGTATAGATAGTCTAGGTAGCATGCATAGTCCAGTGGTTAGCGACCCTGCCTCTGGACCAAGAGGTTGGCAGTTTGAGTCTAAGTCACTCACCTGACATGAATGCTATTGGAAAAGTTGCCGTCCTTAAGATGGGACATTAAGCTATGGTCAAATGGTCAAAGTGCTAGGATAAGTTACCAACTACCAACAAGTGTGAAATTACATTCCCATGACAGAAATGTGCCATACTAAGAGAGTACATGTACTTTGTGTCTTCTTACTCTCCTACACACAGTGAATGTCAAATTATTTCTAAAGGAGAGACAAGTATTTACCAGTGAGAGCCACCTGTAGACTCTATGTTGCTGTTATCGTTGACAGCCAGGAAAATATACTTTTTACAAGAGAGCTCCAGTGGTTCTAGAAATGGGGCCAGGTCATCTCCTAAAGAATGGAACAGATGTAAACCATCATACTTAAGTGTAGAATGTCTAAAACATAAGACAATACAGTAGCTACTTCTAGTTACCATAACAATGTAGAAAATATGGAAACCATCATACCTCAAGTATAATAACCTTAAAATATGAAGAAATGTGTTAACTGCTTGTATTAAAAGACTATGTTTTCTACAAAATATGGATTTTTTTTTTCTTTATTACGAAGGAAGTATATAGTATCCAGACCTTGGCTGTACTTAATGAACTGCGTGACGTCAGGGCTGATAAAAGTGACATCTGACGAAAATTCCTCAAACTGCACCCTTTCAAAATACCTGTGGCAGAGGATAACAGGTTCAAGGGTCAAACTTCTTCCCAACGAATCACTAGCTGTTTTTGATAACATCATATACATGCAAATTGTGTTAAGATATATGCAAATTATTGGTAGGTAAATCAGCCAATCGCCACCCGCTATTCGCCCACCACTCACTGGCCCTAACATCATGGCGATTTGCTCGTATGGACCGTCTCAAAATCTACATAAGGCCACACCAAGTAAATTTTATGGATGACGTCCGCGCGCGCATTGATTTTGGCCTGTTCCTAGAAAAAAAAACAAGAAATTCCGCGTCCTGTAACTATGACCAAAGAGTCACGACAGTGCCGCAAATCGTCAGATTGATGTGAAACCTGTAACGCCGAAAGCCTGTGCCTGGTTAAAAAATGGAAACAAAAATGAAAAACAAAAAACAAAAAAAAAAAATGGCACTGAAAAAAATCCTGTCAATAGCTCCAAAACAGTGCCGTTTTTGGAACTATTAACAGACAGGACGGTCCTGTCAGCAGTCCAATATTTCTTATCTAGGCATCATGTTTTTAGAGCCCTTCTTGTTTTTTTTTCGCACTCTCGCATTAGATTTAGGGTCTCCAAAGGACGTCATCCATAAAATTTACTTGGTGTGGCCTAAGAGGGCACCTTATTAATTGACAGGGTTCAAGAAAGAAATTCAAGGTAAGCATTTATTCACTTTTCAAGCCTAAGTATGAAAATGTAAGAAATTATGTCGAATTTAATTTGAGCTATGCCATGCGAAATAGCAGCCATGCGAAAAAGCTGAAACCATGCCCCCCTCCCACTGGTCCCAACAAACAAATTTATTTTGAACAGTGAAATTCAGTATTTCTCAGTTAAGAGGCGCTAAAAAGGCATACTTACTCGAAGGCAAAGCCTAATATCTTATCATTCAGCCAGTTGGGCGGCTGCAGGAGCCTGACGTCGGAATTTCTGAGGCAAGAATCGTGAAAACTCAGGACGATGTCGTCTGCTAGTTCCGCCATTTTTCTACCGGTGCGCAGTGACCCTGCGCGTGCGAGTCGCTTTCTTTTGTAGATGGGGAAATGTTCTAAATAGTAGACCTTGATATTTCGTGTCTGTATAGATATGACATTGTCAACATCTATGGCGGAAGAACGTAAATTATACCCAGTTTAGTCGCCATATAAGTATTCCCTTGCCTGGTATGCATGATGACTTCAGTAAGTTAATGTGACTGCAGCTACTGCTGCTTGCAGTTTATGTCCAAATCGAATTTTTTTTCCCCACCAAACCCAAACCCAAACCTTGGGTTTGGTGGGAAAAAAAATTCAGTGCAAAAGAGAAACCCCGATAAAAAAGCCTAAAAACACACTAAAAATATCCCCAAAACCCAAACCTCTTGGAGAGTACTGGTTTGCTAGCACTACGTACTTATAATACCGCTAAACGTACGTTCGTTTTACAAGTCTTTTACATTTACCAATATCATCGCTGGCCGTCGATAATAGTTTCATTTGATACTGTTGATTTAATGAATTTTTTCTTGCTTGTGCTCTAGCGCGGTCTAAATCTCTAATGAAACTGTTTAAACGAAAGAAAATGATCTGAAAATGGACTAACCAGACTACAAGATGGAAATCTGTTTGAAATGTTGTTTACGGTAGGATGTGTAATTGTGTTTCGTCTAGATCAACCGCTGTTAATGATTTGATATACTATTTCTAGTCTAAACGCATTCGCGTGTAATTCCATCCGGGTCGTTTGATGGCGCAACTACACAGGGTTAGATGATAGACTTAATTATCCGTTCTTTGAAAGTAGAGAGGCGCTAGGCTTTGTGTGTGGGCACTCAAAAGAGACGTCGATCAGAAGTAAAAACCATGTTATATACTCCAGGAAATGTAACTAAAACGGGTCGCAGATAGACACAAAACAAGCTGCCAGATTTGTAGGTGTATGTATCTCCGAAGTTTCTGTTTTACCCGACCAGATGCTGATGTAGAATACGGTGTGGTGATGTAATCAGATAATTTTAAACCTGTCATCAATTTCGTGTAGAACTAACTATAAAACCATATTTCTTTCCCTAAACCAAACAATAAGAGTTTACAGATGAAGGTAGTCATTGAGCCTTGTACAATATAACGACAAGTGGGCCAAGGAAAATATTACGCTACGCTACGCTACGTGATCTCAGCAATAAGATGGCGATACGAGCTTTGTTGTTTCAAAGCGATATAATTCATTCATTGTCTGGGGGGGGGGGGATTCTCAATCACATGAGAACTGCATAAGAACCAATCAGAATAAGCATATATACATGTATCTCATAAGAAATACATACACTGTTGTACAATATTACAATAAAATGCGCGATAAATGCCCCCCTGAAAATCTTCAATAAACGTTCAATACAAAAATGTAACAAACATTTGATGTGTGGACATGGAATTCAAAGCTGCTCGGGCAATATCCTGCTCTTACAACAGCGTCGTCATTTTTAATCATGTCTGAATCTGGTTACTAGGCAACAACACGGCACAATACGGCACATACGTGGGATTTCAACATGCTCGATTGACGTCACAGCCTGGTCAAAGGTCGAGGTGTAGAAATCCTACCCTGGTGAGCAGCAGACAGCACGTAACAGTACACGTCTATGGCACTACTTTCGTCTAAGACTCTTTGAACAGTTACAAAACATCGTTATATCACAACATTTGGCGGTAGATATGTCAATAATTAGCAACATATGCGAACATGGGGATTTGTTTGAAAATCTTACGAGCAGCTGAAAAAATACGGCTCCTTTTTCTTTCCAATCCAGAAAACACAATAATGGACACAAGAGCTATGCTGTCCCTGGTGCTGAAAAGGCTTCCTTTGGTCATTATGATTCTCATTCACGTACACAAAAGACGTTTCCTGTCATTACGATTGATTTTGTGCAAACAGCTGAGACGATGTCAATACAGGAGATTAAACCCCTGCAGCAGGTGCAAATAACAAAAGTCACAAAATGATGCATGTTTTGCTCCTAAATGTCTTCTTCGGACGGGTGCCGTTCTCTTTAGTCCTACCATTTGTCCCGTTCGCCACTGAAAGTCCGTTTTTCCCGTTTGTTTTCCCAACTTCAGAGTTTTTATCGGCATCTTTCGTGGTTAATTTCGCGTCTGTGGCGGCCTGGCTCGCTCTCGAGGCTTTGTTGGCGGCCTGTATGACCTCCCATGCCGCCGCCTCGGGGTTTTGTAAGCAGGGCGCCGCTGGCCTGCACGCCGCCCAGTGTGCGGCCGCCCGCGCCGCGGTCAGTGCCTCCACGCTCAGTCCCAATCTCTTCTGGTTCACGATCAGGTGTTCTAGAACGGACCTGGCCAAGACGTCCGCGACGATCTGTGCCGACATCTCTCTCACGTCCGCCGCGTCCTTCGGCAGCTTGCTCTTGGGTTTGTCCTCCGAGTCTTCCTCGACCTGGCTGAACGAAACACTCGGACGCTTGGACTCGAAAGAAGAAGACATCCCGAACTTGGTCCCCGCTACTCCGGTGTCTGCCCGTGGCCCGACGTCGCCTCCCACCGCGACCTCACCCGTGTCCATGTTTACAAAACAGATCGCCAACCACTCGAGCTGCGTGCCCTCAGCCTGACCGCCCAATCTGTAAAGAAGAAAAAGGGCCCCATTAATTTCAAGCATCGCACAATCAACACACGCACTCGTATATAACGTTAAGAAATACACGGTAATCTAGGCATTTCCTGGTTTTAAGTGAAATTCTGAGAACCTGAAGCAATGAAGCATTCAGTACCACCACGACTCACACACACCATGCATTATGCGGGTCAATCAACTTCGTGCCAGGACTTTACATGCACGCCTTCAAACGTAAATATATCAGGCTGCTGAATATATCAATAATGAGCTGGAGAGGTAGTAGTCGTATGGCGAGTTTTTCAAAGACATCCGTATTTCAAACGGCGCACTTCTATCTTTCTAAGATATCAAAGCGTTGAATAAAAGTGCGGTCTGAAAGGGTTCCCTTCTGTTCACCATACCCTCAGTCCCAAATCCTGTCAGCAGCAGTCTTTGCCATTCTAATAACCCGCTTAATGTAAGGACCGCCCCCGTACACCGGTTTGCCGAACGGCTACAAGAAACCAATTCCCTCAAGTAGCGTTTACGATCAATCATTCGGCCGAGACACGCCGTACGCAAGTCGACGGCACGTTCTTGTGAGATCATATACATGCAGCTGAATCTTAAAAACACAATAAAATGGCATCAAAGTTCCAAGTTCGTGGTTATGAGGGGGTCGTGGGTGAAGTGTGCATTCAGGAATGTTAAAACAATCGTGTTTTCCTTTCTGTGTTGTCGTTTGTCGTTCAACTGTTTTGAGCAAATTTTCTTCTTTCTGGTATGTCCAAATCGTAAATTAAATACTACCATACGAATGACGAGAAGACAATTTTTTAATATCAAGATGCAACAAGAGTCCGTAGAAACACAAACCTCCGACAAGGACCCTCCCTCACTACCGACATGCTCGATGATATTTCACATACGCATGGTTGACACAAACACAGAGAAAAAGAGTATGAAAGTTTTATCTTACCAAAGATGCCTTTTGATACCATTTCAAACCTTCAAGATGGGGACGTTGTTTTGTAATATCATATTACCTATAAAGAGTACTACAGTGTTAAAGAAACAGAGTGCATCATCTCGCGCATACTACACCAAACTACATACGATTGCAGCAAAGAGATCGTGAATTATATAACTACGAACGTACGAACACATACAACTAACCACAACATCGAAGGCCATTGACTTCCTCCTAGGAGTAACATCAAATTTTGATAAGCTATCAAAGTACATAAAACCTCCACCACAGAGATTCAGGCTAATATTAGCGGCGGGACAATCCCACGCACGGCGTAATCAGGTTAACATCTCCCCGGGAACATGGTGCTAAACTCGCCCCAGGACTCGGGGCTGTTCTTATCGAATTACTTGCTATCATCCCCGGTTTATTTTCAATATCTGTGCTGAAAAATTGCAGAAATAGATGAAGGATTGCAAAAATAGAAGAAGGAAACTGAAACCACGGTCCCCGACAATCCAGATGTGAATGAAACATGATGAAAGTCAATATTACAGGCCCTCCAGCCCAGAAAACACTACGAGCAGCACAGAATCATGAGGAGAACATATGGATGAAATTATCAAAGTACGATTGGTCCCTAGCGTCGTCGGTTTGACAAGTTTACTTATCAGCTCTTATGTTCTACAGGACATTTATATTGCCAGAGATATATATGTATAAACACGTATAATGCTACGTAGTGTACATCAGTCCACGATCTTTCTGGTCGTTCCCGAATCGCATTTTCCGTAGAAGCGCGCGACTAGAGTGCATTTAAGGTGATGTGACCCGGGAGTATCGATATTCCTTGCTTTGACATGAAAAATCTCCCTTGCTAGTAGCTACCCGTGCAAGCTGATGCGAATAGATGGCTTTACGTTTGTATGTTAGCCATGTCAATATCGACATGGCAGATTCATGCTAATTGTTCTGCTTACTGTATTGCGCGATGTTTGTACACATTGAATATTCTTTTTAGTTAACAAAAAAAATTGAAATAAAGTCGATCGAAAAATGGCAAAGATTCACAAATTGTTGCTTTCAAAATTTGCCTACCTCCCTCCCCCGTTAGGTACTAGTAATTATCCTGGATCGTGAAAAGTTCACGGTCTCGGAGTTCATTTCCCAACCTTCACATTCGCTTTTCAACCGCCGCCGTTTTGAATTGTTGCTACGCTCGGATCGTGATGGCACCGGGAGTGACCCCTATTAATATGACGGACCTGTCGGCAGGTGAAAGGAAAATAATCGAGACTCAGAAAACCTAGGGATGACCTGACATGTCATCCGGAGCTAGTGAGAAGCCAGAATCGGGCCCAATTATACGTTCCCGCAGTGCAGCAATCGGCGGCCGAGTGAGTGGAGAAATTGTGCAAAAGAGGATGACTGATTTGCCAGATGAGTTGGCTAATCACGACTGTGCATGTCAACTGTCTGTTGCCAGGGCGACAATACCACAAAACATCAAAACATGTCACTATAGATAATACCTTAGCTCTAGGCGCTATCATGAGTATGATGAAGTGCTCACCAAGCTAGTGGTAATCACACTGATGAATCATTTAAAACGTGAGCGTTACACCGCAGGATAGAACCCCTAAACAGATGTCGTGGTGGGCTGACTACATTGCATCCTGTCACATTTTGCCCCATTCATGACATGTACAAAATAACTAAATTAATAAAAACAGTGCTGTTACAGCTGGTCTTTCCCACATCGCCCTATACGCTGTTATGTATACCTGACAGTTCTCGTGTTTACACATTCTGTTCATTTATTGACCTTCACATACCTTCTACTCAACCTTACAAGGCTAAAACCTACAATAAAACTGGCCCTTTTGGTGTTACTGAATTGCTTTGTGCAGATTTGAAAAAAAGCTACAAATTTGCACCTGCTTCTCTCCCACTATAAATGAATGAAACTTTGATAATTTGAATGGTATCTGTTGGCCTGGAGTTTGAGTCTAACATTATAACGTTATTTGCAAGAAATATTTAAGATTCCATGTTTTAGATATATGAATCGCACGTTTACATGAAGATATAATTGCATACTGCTGGCATATGTTTGAGCTCCAGAGACCGGTTCCTAGAATTTATCGTCGTCTACTTTGAAGTCGATACTAGACAAGGTTAACAAGGTCAACAACATCCATACAGTTCGATTCAATCTTCAAGACGTTACCTGAGAGTTAAGGAGATGGGGATTCCTCCTTCAGTCCCGGTGAAGTCTTGAGCGCATCCTTCTACATGTCATCTCGCCCCAGGACGTCGCCACACCTGCCAGAGCAACACGTAAACATCACAGGTTACACGTACATCGGTAATGTTGCCTCAAACAACCTGTCCGGTCTGGCATACACTCACAGCACGACGGTTTCTGTCACCGTTCCAGACCCGAATTTCGAACGATTCTTGTTCCACGGTTGCCTTGGTAACGCGCTGGTGGTGGTGTGTGTGGTACATGTACTGCGTGCTACCGGCTAACACCACCAGGCTGTTATGTCAGTGCCGCAAGACTACCGTTGACTCATCATTGGTCAGGGATCAGAAGATCGCCGGGGAAAGATCGTTAAGTATAGAAGCATCCTCCGGTGAATGGGTGTAGCTTCTGTTTCAGTGTTGTTGTCCCGAGGTCGTGACGGAGTAATGTACTCTTGGGAAGTTTTCTGATACGCAAACGTTGTTGTTGTTTTTGTCACAAATCATAAATACGTTCAAATTGGACTTCAAAAGCGATGACTGACCTGCATTTCTATTTCCCATAAGAATACTCTTTTTAGATAAAAGTTCTCTTTTAGTAAGTGTCAAATTAGCGTCCACCAGGTTTTCCCAATGGGTTTTTACATTGGACAATAGAATTCGGCAAAACCAGGATGAATAATTGGCCATGAGGGTGTGTTGTTGTTACGGGTAACATATCGAATGAAACTCCCGTGACAAATCATTGGCCTAATTTTACTATTTTTCATATCATAGTCAGACTGGTGTAAATGCGATACAGGTAGAAAAATATAGTAACATGTATAAGAGGTTTAAGTTTTTTTTTCAGAAAAAATTAAAATGTGACGTCGAAAAATTGATATGAAATTGAATAGTTCGGTGATTTTATTCGTTGCGTCTTATTCATTTTTGGGAACTACGCTCCAGAAAGGACAATGATGTGCAAATTGTGGAGAAGGGCTTCATCGTTTGCTTTTTAGTATCGACCGACCTGTACCAGTACCAACCGGTTTCTATGCAGCGAAAATCCGCATTGCCTATATTAGAACCCACTAACGCCCAATACCTTCACATTCATCGACTTTCCCTAATGTTTCGAGATTGCACAGGACGCTTGGGGGCGAATTTCCAAGTCTGTTCTGTAAGTATAATGTCTATGATAATCTTTATCTGCAAACGTAACTCATGCCCCACGGCTCATGTTTATAGTCATTTTGAACCATTAGGAGTCCATTTGTCACTTCCATGGAAATCGGAATGCGCCTACAATAATGCTGATCCAACCCATCTATAACTACCTGACCTTGACAATCAGACGAACATTACTTCAAGGTCGATGCGAGCTGAAGTTCCGAGTAACCGAATTTTCGGTTATACTTGCCTGTCTTAGAGCAAGAAAGCTGCAGGTCTCCAATGTAACGTTCCTCAGGGATCCTTTTGGAAGCCGTAAGCAGTTTTAGATATATAGTGTGAAGAATTGTTTCAGCATGTGGAAAGTAGCCGGTGCTGACTTGCACGTAGCCGGCTGAGTATTATAGTTAGAATGGTCGTAAACAATATTTGCCGTGACGACATAATGTTGTGTTTTACCTTGCTTTGTTACACAAAATCAGCCACTCAAGTTGAGAAACACGCGAGTGGAAACACTTGTATTTGGATCGGATGTCCCCGTAACTTTTTGCGATGTGTTATTGTGATAAGCAGAAATTGATGTGTTTGTGTGTGATTTGTTTAGCCGTTTCCAGAGGGCATCAGAGAAAGCGCAGGGCTCTCGAACAATACAACCTACGTCATTCATTTTGTCGGCACAATACGGTAAACACTCTCGAACAGGCAATGACGTCGCAATGTTTTCTACCACGCAACAATGGAACACCGGATCGCGGTTTTCCTGTGCTTTCAACTTTGGCACGACTGAGAAGTTTTCAACTCTACCGTGCTTCTTGCTTGCGTCAGTAAGATTGAAGTTAGTTCAAAATCTTCCTAATGAAAACAGAGAAATGTGTATTATACCACGAAGTTTGTACGAGTTTTAAATCGAGCGTGACTTGAGTGCGATTCTAGAAGGCCCCTCCAGCCTTGTTCGTACGTTATTTATGTGGGTTCACAGTTCAGCCGACCGGGATCAAAGACCGGCGAACTATGTACACACAAACACCCTCATTTCTACCAATTAATTAAGACACGAAGGGGTTAGTGGCTTTTCCCAAACACAGGAGTGATATATGACGTGTGTCAATGACCCACAAGTGCTTTCCCGTAACGTAGAAAAGTAAAAGCCATTGTTTATATCGTGTTCCGCTAATTGATGTTATGGACTGTACTGACACTATAATACTTTGTAAATTTACAAAACAGAGTCAACTGTTGGGGTACTTGGGGTTTCCGTTGTTTTGTATATGAAGATAACGTCATCAATGATCAATCTACCATCATACTTGTACATGTACCACGGTTAAAGCTTTTCTTGCGTTCTTTGATACTTTCAGTAGCAGGAAATGGACATTTCTGTCTGTAAAGACTTGTTTTTGGACCAAATCACTGAAGAAAGCCTGTTTAAAGGTCGGTTCAGCAACTCCCTGACAAAACAACTAAACGCTGGCAGACATCAACAGGCAAGCACTAGGTGTGTCGTTCGAACCTTTTGACCCGAATTCTCATGTTGACCCTCGCATAACATTTGGCGTCGGGGTTTTACACTTGAATCCTGATGTTGCTACGACGCCGGCACGCTTACCGAGCGATTCAATCCGTACAGTGTTCCGCCAACATGTATCGAGGATGACACCTTTTGCAGAGTCAGTCTGGGGTGTCTATTCCACTCACCGTTTGTAGTAAGTAAGCTTGCGGCAGCTTAGGGGAGGTTCCTTTTACACCGCGGGAAAGGGTGTACCATAATCATACATCTACAACTGTATATAAGAAGTTGAACCTGTAAATAGTAGTTCACATTAGGGTGTATATTTTTAGTAAGATACTATCATAATTTTTACCTCTGCGCATGCTTCATACATAACCTATATTTAGCTTGTAAAAGCATAAACGTTTACAATAAAGGTCTTTCGTTCGTTCATTCATTCTTCGATTTCATTCATTCATTCAGTCATTCATTCATAATAGCTGTGGGTTTATCCAACAGGAGTATGCTTAGTGCAGAAGTGCCAGAAAGTGTACTATAAGGGAAAGTCCAACAGCTGCTTTTAGATCTATATGTCTGCAATCCGGTAAGGAAAATAAGAGGTGCCAATGGATTGTCTTATGTTGAGTCAATACTGGTATTTTCTGTGTCAATTTTCTCAGTCAAATGTTCTGAAATGCATGATAATCAATAGATTCTACTTTCCCTCATACCAAATTTTGCACAGTTCTACAGTTCACCTGATCCATCCCTTTTTCAGGTAGTTGGATTAGCAGTATTTTGGTGCACGTTTATTTGAAAAATGACACAGGATATCGTAAAATCGTCTCATTCCTGTTTTCAACCTCCTTGTTCAAATTAAGAAAATGGAAAAGGCATTTCTTATCATGCGTTGATGGAAGTCGACGAGTTAAGCGTTGATTACATTTTGTGGGGGCGTCTTGTTTGTGTTCTTTTCAGCAAAACATAGTAATTAAATCCCCTTTTTCTATCAGGAGATCAAATGAATATAATCGGTCATCAACACAATTGTTGTAGACATTCTGGTATGCAGTACCATGAAGAAGGGAGAAGTGATGGGGGGGGGCGAATCGTTTTATCAGGGTAATCACCACAGACATTTGACGTTAATGCCAGTACTTCGTAACATATGCTATGTATTAAAGAACATACCTGTAACAAGTCTGTTTATCTTTGTAACAGTTAAGCTGTCGGCGTTCTTCTCTGGCGACATTATACTTTGGAATGATTTTCAACTATACCCTTCGCTGAATACAATACTAGCACATAGAAATTTCCAGACAGTTTTGAAGGCCAACACGTACTGCTTTAGGGGCCAATGTCTTTCCAGGAATGTGGAGAGAAAATTCTGCGTGACATACGTGCTGTACGTCAGGTCAAAGACGTGTCGGTTAGGTATGACGACTTTGTATCATTACTTTTGGCAAATATTAAAGTGATTAAAAATCACTAGTATTCAGAAGCTGATAAAAAAGATAATAGTATCCTATGCATGTCCTTTACCTCACGCAAATCTTTTCTGGCTGTACCTGCTGTAACTGCTAAACCTTTACTGCTAATCAACTGACAAAATGCATGACGCATTGTCATATATATGTTAACCTTATTGTGGATTTACGTGACCCCAAATCTCCGATTATGGTCAGAGTCGTGACATAGCATGATTACTCGGCACGACTTCTTTCAAACGGTGTGAAAAACTGTTGCTGCGATAGAAACAGTAGACACCAGACGTATACATCGAATGTATCCTTTATGTACGTTTAAGCCCCCTTCAAGGCCATTGTCTGACAAATACCTATCACTCAGGGGGCTCTTGTGTAAAATAGTGACTTGCACAAAAAGATAATCGATTGTGGAAATGGAACACTTCAGTTGACTACGAATACCCAAATGGCTAATCCACCATTGACTTGTCAGAGACATTGTTTTTGAGGTATGATCATGAATACACACACACACACACACACACACACACACACACACACACACACACACACATGCGTATACACAAGCACACTTTGACTTTGACATACAAACATAAAGTATATGGGTTGCATGACGCAATATATCTTACCTACCTGTTTTGCCTCTCCGTCTGCCTCGTATTTGTCCGACAGCCGTGGTTGTGAATTTGGCGGGATATATCTCAGACAGAGCAGGCTGATCTCCCGATTAACTGAAGCTCCTTTCCCGCGAGATATGGAAATAAGGAGATGATATCAGACGAAGACGATTACCCTGTGTTCTTCCTTAGAGACAGTGGGGAGACGCCCAGTTACACCTGTCCTCTGGGACGACGTTGTCTGTAGTCTCGCCACAAAACATCAACATGAAGAACGCGGCAGACGAAAGAAAAATTACGTTTGTTCGTCTCGTCAGTGAAAGCTGGCTTCTCGGTTGAAGTTTTCCATTCTTCTTCCCGCGCACAGATTGCCCAAGGCGGACCCGCTGCGAGCGACCGGGTCGTGTTGGTGCTATGGAGCCCGTCTATGGCCGCCGGGCCACGCGGACACGTCCTGTATTGTTCCCGATCAAACAAGACGTGCCCGCGAAATGTTTGATTGTCCCAGTTTGCGGGACCAGGCGGCGAGTTTCCTTCCCCACGTCCACGTACGCGCGAGTCTCTGGCTCACGTATGATTTGTTGAAAACACCTGTCTCGTTCAAACCACTCCCTGCCCTTATGCGCTCTCGAGCCGGGTTCCGGCAACATGCAGCCACAATCCAGGGGCGGTTCAGTACACATCTGGGGGGAGGAGGCATGGAGGAATGTAATTGTGGATCGTTGCCTGGTAACATAACATAACACGGCGCGTGCTTTAGAACCAGACCCATTATACACAAGACGCTGTATATTCTAATAAAAGCGACACTTATACAATGCATGAGGCCGGTTAACAAGTTGGATAACAAGTGGCGGTCTCCCATATACTTCTGACAACAATACAGCAGTCGCAGCGCCTTACAAGCCAATACAATAGACGTGATTATAGTCTCATAGGGTATTTAATAACCATTTATGTAACGTCTGGGCGCCATCTTTTTTCTTTTTAATTTCCCACAAAGAAGACAACACTACCTTTTTCATGTATATTTAAGCTCCTTGTGTATAATCTACAGTCTACGCTTCGGCGAGTCGTTCCCAGACGTAACATCAGGTACAGGTACAGCTACAGGTCTGCACCTGAACCTGTGCCTGAACAATTGGGGCAAGAAGCTTAAACGATTTTAACCTCCTTGGACAAAGTATCCTTCGGTCTTACATGAAGGCAGAAATATGAATAAACAGTTTTTTTTTTCTTTGAACCATTCTTTATTCATGAGAAGCTCAGATCGACATGTAGGCCGCTTTTCATTGCCACGAGGGAGGAGGTAAGGGTCAGACTGGCAAAATATATCAGTTAACAGAATGTTTTTTTATACTTAAGATATCTTAGTATGCAGAGAACCCGTGCTTTCGACAGAATCTATCAGATACACACAGTGGTTTTGAGCAAGCTTAGGCTGAGTTTTAGCTCACATGGCACCTTCTGTCTCCTTCACACAGATAAATCATGAAACTTTTCAATCACAATAAAGCATCAGATTCGTTCTCTCAGTGGAATAGCTTGAACCTAAATATAGATATTGAGGTGTGAACTGTTTTGCGTTACAGTATGATCGTATTATAAGATAGTGTCCATTGTTCTTATAGATGCAAACAAATCATTCACTTGTTTAATTACAAGATAGTTATCAAAGCGCCTAACAAAATAAATGTAGATTCAGAAGCGAAACATGTTTTGCGTTACAATATAATGAATACGATAATATCAAAGATAAGGGTACATGCATACACTTCAATGAGCTTCATCGGTCACGTCTTGCACCGTACATTCCAACAATGGACGGTCCCTCTAAAACATCGCTCGTTGTCGGGATTACATTTATATACTACCTGCTCAGAGTGAATAATTTGGCGGCCTGTTCAGCCGTGGATCTTGCCTTATTTGCTCACAGATCCAATCCGAAATTTAGCTATTCACATCTCCACGTAATCCCCAATATAGCGGGGAGGGATTATCCCTGTCCTTACGCGGTGTCTTTCATAAAATGTCCTAATATCAAGGGTTTGGCCCCGAATCAAAGGATGTGAGACAAGTCGGCAGTATTTTGTTCAAATACGGTTAAAATCGCGAGCTGTAGCGAAGCCACGTTTTACCGCAAGCTACATAAAAAAGCACAATGCTTCACCTCAGTTGAGGACAACTGCTATGCCTTATTTGTACAGAAAGATGGTGATTTTCACGGACATTTTATAAGGTAGTTGTATCAAGGATCTATGGGCATATGGAATATATATTTTGTCGCTGAAAACAAATCACTAAGAAGCGAATGCGTGGACGTGTACGCTTTCATTAGAAGGGTTAGCAATTATACATCAAATCAGTACGAGATATCACCGTGACAATATGCAGCTTACCTGCGCCGTTGCAGTATAAGTAGGCAACAAATGTGCATTTCGCATTCGCAACGTGCCCATCCATTTATTCTAACGTATAACCTATTGGGTTCCAACATCATATCTAATTACCTGCAGCGGATAATCAGGGCGTCCCAAAGCTATCAAATATTGCTTCATCATTTTTAAGGGAGCTTGATTCGCTAATCACAAATTGCCTCTGATGGAAGAACGCCAGTTGGGATTTCCGGCTGTGACCGCGCATGGAGGCGCAGTGAGCAGAAATTAATTCATATCATAGCGGGTTTGAACAAAGACACAATCGTGCGGTTCTCCGTTCTTGTGATCTAGTCCGAATCTAATCTCCAAGCAGATCCCTCTCGGTGGCAAAAAGACAGTATCAAATTGGCCAAGCAGTATCCATTAGCCAGAGAAGCTCTAAACGGCCATATATAAAGATGTAACGATCATTCCCCCACAACCTCTGCTTGGAGAGTAGTCCGAATCAAGATATTCTTGTCTTCTTTCAGGATTTGCTAGGGAAGGAGTTTAAGTTTGAGTTTATTATGATCCGTACTTATAATTAGCAAACATATATACAGTATATACCTATTTTTGCTCCATAATCCATGTACAACTGTAACAAGCTGAATGAAGTTATATCGTCTCGGGCCCCCTCCGAAGCGCATATGGCTCTACCAGGCTCTCCAGATTGCTGAGAAAATGTCAGAAATTGACAAAAATAAACTGAATAGCAAACCAGAGAATTTACCCAGCCAGGGACACACAATCGTGATCACCAGGTTGCAAATTGTACCCGTGGTCGGCTTCAGTTTGGCAAATTTCCTTCCTTTTTTCAGAGACCTGAGAAGCCCGTTAGAAGCAATCTAAGCGCCACAGACCGTAAAGTTTGAGATTTCCCTTGCGTGATCTTTGCCCAAAGTAACATTTGCACGAATTATTGCACGATGACTTCAACATTCGGGACACGGCAGACCATGAAAGTTAACTGTCTACATGGAATCTACCTTTAATTTTACAAGGACAACGCAGGGTTACCCTTTATAACCCTTTCTTACATAAAAGGTCAAACATTACCTTTTACGCTGGGTGGGGAGCGGGAAATGACTTGGGAATACGTCGCTTTCGTGACGGGATTATTATGCACTTATCAGTGTCAATCCAGGAGGAGGGGGTTTGTGACATTTCATTACGATTCCTTTTTATCATAGAGATTTCACCACTCAAAAATCTGGAATTCATTTTTTTTAGCTACGACGTCTAGAATTAGTAGATTATTCCTTACCGTTGAAGAAATGTGATGGATGACACCCAAAACGTCTGGAAGTTATCTCCTTCTTGGCTAGACAGTTGTAGAGATCAATTTGTCTGGATCTGATATAAAAATACACAATTCTGTAGCTTCATGCGCCATGACGTTTATCATCTTGACTAGATCCGTTCCCTTCCATAATCCTCCGTCTGGTGAGCAAGCAACCTTGGTTTATCATGAGATTTCTACAGTATTGGTCTTTTGACATTTACATCTGTCTTGTCGGAAAAGCGGAACCACAGGCATAGGTTCCAATAGCAGGGTGAAAAGAGACCTCCAACGACTCTGTCGAGTACTGCAGATCATCACTCGAATCGTGTTATGCGATGTGAAGTCAGTAGACGTCTCTGATGATACACAATGGCCAACGCAAGTGCATCGGACGTAATAACATTTATGGTACGCATTAAGAAAGGGGCTTTTTTCCTCTGTCCCTAGTACTGTGACGGTCAAGTTGGTCAGGCGCTCATTGCTGGAATGGTGACATCGTTAAATACAATATATTCCACAGGCGTGTTCCGCATGTTCTCAAAATTGAAAACAAACAAACAAACAAACAAGAAAACAAATGTGAAAATCGGAAGGTATAATAGATTCCCCCCAGACCTATTCTGTCCAAGTGAGATTGAAGATGAACGTCACTTTATAATAAATTGTTCACGATAAAATGAGAAGCGTTACGAAAGTCGCTGTATTTATTTGTTGTGTTGATAAAGACTGTATATATATGTACATGTAACGTTACATATCCTCGCGATAATGCTCTCAGCTCACGCAGACTTGCAGAACAACCTGCTGCAGTTTTCCCGGAGTCACCGTCCTCTCAGTCAGCGATCTCATCTCTTCACTTCACGGTTACCACATGTCCTTGTCCTCCGGAAACCGGGATATCAGGGAGGCTCTGTATGGGGGGATCCTGGCAACGCTTAACTGTGAATTTAGAAGGCGACGACAATGGTACTAGTAATAACTAGACCATGGCGAGGGCCGGCAACGCTTAACGGTGCACACCCCAGTTCTTCCGCGACAGGGGTCCACGATAGTCCGTTGAAAAAAAGTGACGAAGGGGTTTTGAGGGCCCAAGTTTGATGTGACATTTCTCATAAACTGGCACGAAGTATCATTAAACATTAACATGGCTGAAGAGTGTAAGAAATGGTGATTTTGGGGTGAAAATTTCTTTTGGCTTCGAACCTTACTTCCGGGTATCCTTGCGCGCCAAGTGTAATCCGCCCGTTTGACCTAGATTTCGCTCTGCGCCTTCCTAGTAGCGGATTTGCAACCCCTCGCGCCGTGGACGATTAAAAAAATTACAGTACTAGAATTTTCTTTATAATTTACTCGGGTATAGTCAAGGCTTGGGTCTTTCTGCCAGCATCAGTCATTTTTGCCGGAAAATTTTTTTCTATGGGATTATCCTACGCGAAAATTCGCAATTTTGGGCATTAATTTTGGAGTGAAAATAATGTTTTTCCCGTTGATTTTACCAAAATTAAAAAGGTTGAAGAAACCAAACTCAGCTGGTCTTGTAGCTGAAGAGATATCCTTTCGTCCCATATACAGTTATTCTCCTTCCGAATTATTCCACGCCAGACACGGTCGCTAGATTTGAGGGTGTGCAGCTTCGAATAGAGACGCCAAATAAACTGGGGTGTGCCCCCTTAACGATAAATTGACGCTATATGCACTACGCTAGTGAGTTTTGGGCAAACAAATCTGGCCACGCGATATGAAGAATTTGTTAGTAACGCTTAACGATGCAGTCAAGATAACAAATAACACATGTTCCGTAGGGTAAAGCGACCAATTGCGTTCTGCGAATGATTCGGTAACAATCCTCAACCGTTGAATTATATTGGAACGGCTACGTAGATTATCGTTGAATATTATATTAAAAACAGCTCGCAAATCCTCGCTCCAAAAAGCATGAGATCTTCATTGGTGATGGGCCTAGGCGCTGGCGTGTTTCGTACACGCGCCATCCCAACCATTACAATATTACAGCCGCGTTTCCCTTTAATTTATTCACCAGCCGGCGCGAGGGGAAGTAAGTTCCGGAATTGCGTAACGAGTGACGTGTGCGGCGGCGCGCACGTGGACTGATGACGTCCGGCGGGTTGCTCCGAGAGACGTCCGTGCGTCAGAGCGGCGGGGAGAGAAAAAACATCCCGGGTCCCATCCTCAGCGCGCTGGAACAGCACTAAACAGTCATGTACCGCCGAAAAGCAAGACAGAAAAGGAGAAATATGCTCATTACGCATACGGAAGCCTAACTTCAGTATTTTTCTTTATATTGCACGGTTATTGTAGCATCTCGTAATTGCGACCGTATGGGACAGAACGGGAATTAAGAGATATATACTATTATCTCAGGCGTTACCAAATATGGAGTTGTTGTTGGCTAGTCTCTGAAGTGTCTGGATCACAGAGAATGTTAATCTCCAAGCAGATCATTAAGAGAATTAAGAGAATGTCAGTTTTAATAACTGTGGAAACCGCATTTTTGGTCCCAAAGTAGGAGAAATAACCACTTATGGTTATTTGTACATTGTAAGCTTTTCCTAATTTTATACATTTTAGTTTCATATAGCAGTTTATGTTCTCTAGATTGCAATTAAAGATCGCTTCATTTTGCAAAGAATATATTCTTCTCATTAGAACTTCTCCACACTAGACTAAGTCATATCATATTTAACGCTACCTCGACTACTCTGGATCTCTGCCTTCGAATTCATTATGCATCGACGAAATACTGCACATGCGATCTGCCTATCTAATCTCGCTTTTCAATAAGGAGAGATTCTTTTACCAATAGAAATACTATATATTTATCGCTTTTACCAATAGAAAGACTATATATTTATCGTTATTTTTAGATCAAAGTGAATCACATTGTACGTATAGATCCTAGCTGACAGTGGATTATCCATTTCAATTATATAAACGTACCATGCCAAAGCGCTCGTTCTAGACAGTCACAAGGAAAACACTTCAGTCGGCCATATACGTCATAAAAGTCTTTATTATATCAAGCAATAGCAAGGAGAGCTTTACAAATATTTTCAAAATGCCCCATCGTACTGCGTGCACTTTTTACACCACTAGGCTTTCCGCCATCCAAAAATCATGGCTTTTCGTTCACCCCGTTATTCTCCTGACAAAATCGTGTATGTAGAAGGCGTCGCAACAAGACCAGAATGGACCCCCATCGTTGGGTGACCAAGTCAAACTCTATCTGTGGAATACTCCTTCGATTTAACATCAACAAACTTTACCATAAAGGAAATGTATGCTGAGATCGTTTGTGCAAGTGTTTTCACTACCAAAATGCAATCAAAGTTGGCACGTTTGGCCAGAAGTCAGTCCTGAATACTACACAAATACGGGAGATACTAAAGCGGGGTTAACCTCAGTCGACGGTCTCAAACAAGGGCACGACTCTTACAGTACGATATAAGTAGAAAAATATGCTGTCTTGAAATCACAGAAGAATTTTACAGAATGATTCGTCACTTTCACTTTAACTACGGGATAATGTCATAAAATATCCGACGAAGATCATTTTGTGATACATCACTTTTACAAAGTAACATACAATATGACCAGAATAAATATTTCTATCAACGGCACAAAACTTATATAAATACATTTTAATATCACATGAACATACAATATCTGAACTCAGTCAAAGAAGCAGTTCAACAGGTTGGGCTATGCTGAGGCAAGAGTATTGTATCAGACTTTCATGTCTGAAGTTGTCTAAACTTTACAAAGGGATCTCGGTTACTTCTTTGACTGAATTCCAAGACTTATATTTTTTTATACAGCTTCGTTCTTTGAACGGTCACAAACGATAAACAAAAAACAGCCTCAGACGAAATCGTCTTTGTGGTCCAAGTTCTACCACCAAATTAAGCTGCTAATATGAGAAGAAGTCATGTGAAATGTCTCAAATAATTTTGGCAAAAGTAGACTTTACAACGCCCTCCTACTAGTTGGTCCTCATTAACAACGTGTTCAAAGTTGTCACTCGTGGAATTTCGTGGCAATTTACAAAGAGTGGTTCCAAAGACAACCTGCGCGGTTCTTGTACAAATTCTACGAAATCTACTGAATTGCAAATTCAAGCTAATGAAAAAAGTTCTTCTTTCCATTCATTCAGTTCACTGGCGTCCAGCGCTCAGTTTTTCATCCCTGCGAAAGATCGCGGTTTTTGGAGAAGGTTGTGTGGTTGGAGTGTTAGAGGGTTGCTTCGGGGGAAGGGGATCGGGAGTTGCTTGGTCCACTCCTGTTTTGGTCCTCGTCGGTCAGTCAGTAGACCTTCTGAAATCCCGGGGACAGGATGAGGGGGGACAGCGGGACGCCCGTGAAGGAGTTGACGGGGACGCCGATGGCGACAGGCACGGGGCCGGAGCCGGTGATGGCGGGGAACTGGAAGTGGTTGGAGGAGGGGGTGAATCGGGGGCTGAGGGCGGCGGCGGGGGACAGGGTGCTCCAGAAGTGGAGCGGGATGACCGGGGTGCCGGTCTGGTTAGGGATGAGCGGGGAGGGGGACGAGGTGACCATGATGGGCGTCTGGGTGCTGAAGTGTGTGGTGGTGAGGCTGTCGGGTGCGCCGGTCGGTCTGGTGGTCAGGGTGGGGCTCTTGATGGGGGAGTCCACGCTGATGATGTTGGGGATGGAGATGAAGTGCGGCCTGTGACGGGACACGGCCGGGCGGTGGATGGTGGAGGCGGCGGTGCTCTGCACGACGGGGTGGCCCGCCGACGACGCCCTGGGCACCTGGTGGTGGAATTCGAACGACTTGGAGGTGGTGACTGGGTTGAAGACGGTGGTGGCGGCAATGTGGGGGCTGCTGCGCCTGAGGGCCTCTGGCGTGGCGGTACGGAACTGCAGGCTGACCGGCACGGACTGGGTGGCGCAGGGCTGGGAATGTGGCCGCGGGTGCGGGCGGTCGGCGGACAGGTGCAGCTGGGGCACGCTCAAGTTTGCAGTGTTCATGGCCGCGTGGTGGCCGCTCAGGTGCGCCACGCTCTCTCCTCCTACTCCTCCCGAGGAGTGGGGGTGCTGTGACGTCATGACCGACGCGTTCTGCGCGTGCGTGTTGGCGCCGCTGCTGTACCCCTGCATGGCCGCTAGGCTGTGCTGCTGATGTTGGTGGGGAGAGGAGCGCCCGACGTCCGGCGCGATCGGGTGGAGGGACGGCTTCACGTCAGGTTTCAGGATGGCGGGCAGGTTGACGAACTTGTAGACGAACTTCTGCCCCATCACCTTCTTGATGATGTTCTTGTCGTAGTAGTAGCGCAGGGCCCGCGACAACTTGTCGTAGTTCATGTTGGTCTTGTTCTTTCTCAAACCCCACAGTCGGGCCACCTGTCAACATAAATATTACAGCGATGAATATCTAGTCAGCTACAGCATCTATGAGAAAGTGTGTGGGAAGGTCAAACACACAACACTACCAGCGGTTTAGCCCCTTGCTGTAGTGCTTGCACAACTGTGTGACCCAAGGGCTACAGAAATGGCGATGGGCACCGCCCCTATGCTCTGCTCGGGGTGAGTGGGACGGGGACATGATATGCAAATCAAAAGGCCTCTTGCGACATCCAAATCACCTACATGTGCTACTTGCAGAACCAGAAAAACAGAAATTTTCAGCTCGCTAAAATTCATTTTCTGTGACGTCATGACCTAATCATAATCACCATCAGACTTTGTTGACTTCCAGCTATCGTAAAGACAGCCAAAAATAGGACTATAAATACTTAACACCGATCAAATTTGCTTGACCCTATTGCATATCCGGAGACCCAATAACGCACACCGTATATTGGCTACCTAAGTGATTATGGAGACATCCTGTGTACGCACAAGCATACGCACCGGAAATACGCACGTGGGTTATATGCGGGTTACAAATATAGCAGATCACAGGGATTATGAAAAACAGCCAGTGGAGGGACTGGGAAGCTGTTTTTAGATCACAGAGTGATGTCGATACTAGAGCAAGGGCGGTACTGTACTGTACTGTATATTTTTGGCAACAAGCTTTCGGTGAACAAGTATGAAAATACCTCGTTGAAATTGTATACGCATTTTGAAAAAAAAAACTCATTTGCTGCAATGTAATATTGTGTTTTGCTGTATTTGAAGATTTTGTCTCAAGTACGTTTGCATTTTCACAATCACCTATTCCATTTAAGACAAAACATCACAGAGCCATCAACAAACAAACATGACCAAGCCATGCAGGATGTTTGTGAACTTTTGCCCTCTCCTTTCGAGTTTCGAAGTACTGTTTATCAGGGAGTATTTGCTGGGTTTGTTGTGAAAACAAGCTAGAGCGTCAGACTATCTTATCGTAAACATCTCTCACCTCTCACATCCTAATTGTACTTTATCATTGTTCCCGGTTTATTTGATTATTGTGCCTGCGTCATACACATCCGTTCATTTCTATGAAATTTCTAAAAAATATGCAAATAAAGGCCAAGAAAAAAGATGAAAAAACATCTTTCACCTCTCACATTTTAATTGTATGATTATCATTGTTTTCTGGTTCTTGCTTTCTGGTCACCGGTTTGTTTGAACAGTGTGCCTGTGTAATCATTGTGCATGTATATCCAATAATTTATTTCTATAAAAACAATTTTTCTGAATAATGTAAAAAAAAAGGAAAAAAATATCTCACCTCTTCCGCACTATTCAGTTTGAACTCGCCGTCGTTGGACGTCCAGGCGATGAGATTGGCGTTCTTCGGATCCAGTAACAGCTCCAGCAGGAACTGCCACAGCGTCAGATTAGGCTCCATACCTGCAACACAGGACGACATATGTAAGTCTTACAACGGGGGAAGGGCAAGGCTGACCTGGAAGGAGAAAGATCTGAACCAATAGTACAGGCACAGAAGCGCACAAGGTGGAAAGGGGCGGCCCGATGTACAATAAAATATGCACGGGAGGAACTAGGGTGCTAACACTGCTAAGGTAAGTCTTATAACGGTTTTTTTCTTCTACCACATGGAATGCATGATTTCATTTCAAATTTGATATTGTATGCAATAGCTAACCACGGGCACTCTTTAGCCTGGGTGCCATCCGATTTGCTACTGGGATCTTTAAGCTCGCTGGCCCATCAGAAACAGCGAACTGTCATAGTCGGCCTAACTCCTTGGCAAATCACTGTACTCTTTGGGCCCAATTTCTACATGTGTTATTTTCCCAGCACGCAGGCTAATGGTACTGATGGACACCAGCCAATGCTTGGTCGTGTTCAGCTAATTTTCATTAACGGAAGCTGCGGTTCTTGGTATCGGGATCAGCATTGCTGCATTGCAGACTCCGCTTTTCTGCGAAAATGTTATTCACGATGTCACGGTCTGTACATTCTGAATGTCACGACCTTGTTCAGTCCGAGGCACGGTGCCAGTAATCGAGAGGCATTGTGCGATAATAAATGTCTCGTTGTCAGTCTTCAGTGGTTCGTTATCGGTTCTCAAAACACCTGCCGCCCACAGATATTGCCCTAAAACCTAAAACCAGCGAGATTATAACGCCCCGGCAAGATTAAAATCCTCGCAGGTATTGAACAGGTGGTTTGAACTTGTGAAACCGTTTGTCGATGTGACACCACAAGAAGGAAGTGGGCATCACACCCCCAGTTTTATGGAAAATAACATTATCTTTTATAAGAGGATTAGAATCGTCTGAGGATACTGGTAGATTTGATTTTATTTCCCCCCTCGAACATCAAGTGGCCGGGCCCTACGTGTTGTCCCAAAGCCTGGCTTACTATTTTGCATACCAGCTACCAGTACGGAATCCATCGATGGTTGTGCGCCCGTCTAGCCTCTACTACAACAACCAGCTGGTACGGCTTTACACCGGGCTAGCCTATTTCAAGAATTCGGGTGGGAAGATGAACGATTTTAGATTTAAAAAATCCTCCCACGCCCCTTGGCAGATATTTCCGGGTTTCGTATTCGCAAGGACTGCATAATGTCCTAGGTATTCGTATAAATACATTGTCTGTCTTTTCTACTTTCCCACGATGGAAAGGGAGAGACAGTCAGTTATACTACTGATATTTTTGGGACACTCGCCGAAATGTACGAGTATGAGTTCTCAAGTGTTCTCCTAATTTCTACTCCAAGTTGTTGCTCCAAACAAAAGAACATACAAATAACTCACCTTTTGGTCTAACAGTTACGGTCGAGTCGACCTCCGTCAGGCGTTCGACGCAAAGTTTCTTGGCAGGAGGCTCGCACAGGTCGCCCATGTCTCTCGAATCTGTAACAAAACAAGCCGCGATCAATGTCCGGAAGTTACCGCGGTCGAACACACACTACTGTAGGACTGCCGAGATCTGGGCACGCCGCTAAAGAAAACCGACTTGAGTCGACAAGGAAGAAGCGATTCGCGGAAGGCTTTACCCATTTAAGGGCATCGCTTCCGGTCGCCTGGTTACCCGACATTGGCGCATTTTCTGGGACAAGGACCGGAAGTTTACTTCCGGTCCGGTAACCACCGGAAATAGCTTCCTTACTCCAGGCATATTGTCACTAATACGTGTCGCCGGTGTAAGCACCTTAAACACGGGGGTTTTACGACGGCAAATGTGGGATAATCCGAGTGAAATATTTAACGTGGCGTTTGACGTCAGGTACGTGCGCGCGTCTGTATTACGGTCGCCCCGTGACGAGCGTAAAATGCGGCAGATCTCGGGGGGAAATACCCGAGCGAACGTCACCGTAGCTAGCGAGGGCTGTCTGGAAATTCCAGGTGAGAATTGTAGGCGGAGAGCTACGATACTGACAACACGAAAAAATAATTTTAAAAATCCCCTAACGATCGTTGAAACATACGATGCTTTCTCGTCGTTGAATACAAACCAAGACCTAACAAAACAATCAGCCACTCCGGCTTCTACTATCAAACCTGTAGAATCAATTTTCGACAAAAATATACAATCGTATATAAATCATGCACCGAATTACAGCCGCACAAAAATACACGTAAATACCTGAGTAATCCTCCTCGGTCTGACACATGCTGACACACGGTTGTAAAGTTGCTACACGCCGCAAACCAAACAGACCCTAGTACTGTAGTAGTAGTAACAGATAAGGTATGGGAACGTAGTACGAGTCTAACAGGTGGGCTGAGCGTGTTACTCGTACGTCCTATCGCTGGCGCTGCTCGCTGACACTGGCGGGTGTAGTGCTATCTTCGCTGCACGCGGGATTGTGTTGGTATTGTCTTCCGGAGCCCTTTCTCCGCCCTGAATGCTGTCATGTTGCTAAATCGGCGCGCCCACGTCAGCGCACAGAGCCGCGCGGCGTGGGATGGGCCGCATGACGTCACCGCTGACGCACTTGTCGCCGGGTCGTGACTAAACGTTGCCAGGACGATACCACTCTCAAAGTGGGGGTCGCGGAAGCTCGTCTAATTTTTCGATAGTGGCAACCTATCAGGCTCTACTTTTCAGATCGATTGAAATCGACCTCATTACCGGAATGGATCTTTTCTACAACGACATTTGCTTTGTAACGCTATGAATATATGACCTTGCCAAACCTGTTAAACGCTTCCGCTAGGGTTTGAAGTATACAACCCCCCTCCTTAACCACTGGAATGTCAACACCTGCTTCCGTCACCCTTCATTATAGACGATTTCCGCCGGGGCAAGAGACCGGCTTATACAACAACACGCGTTTTCTCCTAAGTACGTACATGCAGCGATCAACAAAGAGGAGTAAAAAAGCTATACCGACGTACTATCGCACAATGGGTAGCTCCCAAAATAGATGTTGACAGGAACTATAGTAATTTCTTGGACCTATAAATGAGCCCTAAATAACACATCGCGTGATATGTAGTAGTACACACCCACTGTACACACCTTGATGGGTACCGTATATGGAACATACCCGTCCATATATAGATATCGGTGGCATTATACAAATACAAACACAATAGTACCGCAGTTTGTATTCTATTTCCAAACTCACGGTGAATCATATGATACCTGTATGTAGCAAATCCAATACCGCACATACGAATATAACCATTCTGCTCAAGGACGTTCTACAAGTTCTGCTCAATACAGTTTTCGAAGAAGATACGATAGAGAAATTTTAAAACACACAGAGCGACTACCAGCCAAAAAGAAACACATGCAGCTGCTCACCTTGCATCGTTGTAGACTGCAAAGTTCACGGCCGTGCGGTGGTTAAATCCAACGTTAGATCTCCCGGCCGTATCCCTATCAGTGATGCTCACACCCCCGCTCGGTCTGGCTGTTGTCGCCTTGCGGACAACTCCTCCTTTAAGCGGGACTGAAGAGAAAAATACACCGTTAGCCCACGGCAGCCTTATTTGGTATCAAACGCAGTTGCAGATGCAGTTTTCTGACGAAACGCCCCGCTCAGGGGCCAATAGGTAATCCACTTTATGAGCCATGCTTTTGTGAACGACAGTAACTTTCTTATTATCCATGTTATATAACTTTCCAGAAATTTCTGTTGCGTAACTGGAAGGTTAATTTTCCCGTGCGTAGCAGCGAGCATTTATGACGTCGTACGCTTACGCGTCTTTGCACCAGTCACATAGGGGAGCATACGAGATATAATGGAATGAAATCGCCATAGAATATATTTATCATTATCAGGTCTGTTTATCAAATAAAAGAGATGGGAAACAGTTTTGCTTTTTTGGTCAGTAAAACTCAAGTCATCTTGCTATAGCCACGTGTTTTTCTCGGAAACGTCCGGTGGTTTTCTTCGCGCGCACACCGGTGTTATCTGTTAATCAGTACGTGGGAAAGAACACGAGGAGAGTTCTGTTGAAAACATCCTCAGGGACTGTCAATCAAACCACGTACTTACTGGTATGCACATCTACGTAGACAACATGGTAGATCACTAGTCTCCAGCAGACTCCGAAGTTTGCAGGCTGAATAAATTAAATAGTAGAAATCGGTCTAAAAGGGGGATTTAATGGCATGGCCAGAGCATCCTCCCGATGCAGCAAATTAACCCTCTCTGGCAGGCCAACTTCTCTCTTTAGACCGATTTCTTCTATTTATTCAGCCTACAGAGAAGTCTGTAGATCACTTCTTCAAACGCTAAAACAAGCTTAAGGTGAAAGATTTATTTATAAGAAAGAAGTCTTGTAAACATTTTGCAATATACTAGTTCTTTTTTATCATTAAGAAAGGCGTGGTGAGCTTCGACGCCCAACACATCTTTGATGGTTGTACACAAGTAAATACAAATATCGGAGTGGAAGATCGTACCATTTTCTGACAGCCGGGCTTCTTGGAGGCGGCTGGCTGTCAGAAAACGTATGTTTTTCTCCCCGAGATCTGCTTCAGAGATTAGGCAGCCATTACCTTTTGAGGAGTAAATAAAATACTAGTAAACAGTTTTTGCACTTGACCCATGCCCATTGAACCGTCGCGACCTGATGCAAGTTTACGAAAGCGACCCCCCCCCTTCGTTTCAAAATAATCTCCAAGCAGATGTAGGATTCAGCTCGGGCCAAGTGTCTGTTTTTTACGGCATTTAGTGCGTCTTTTTTAATCGTTTCTGCTTTGGAGAATGAGAAGAGCTACTGAAACACGGACCACTAGAAAAGAGGTACAAAACGCCGACGAACCGCGTGAAATATTGAGCCGATTTTCTCGGAGATTAGGAAGGAGAGTAGCTCTTAAAAACCAACACCTTATTTCAGAGGTAAACACAGCAAACTGATTGTACGAGAACAACAACATCTGTACTCTGTTTCAAACCGCCAGAGTCGAACCTATCTATGCAAGGTAGATATATCAAGGACGTGCAAGCCGAGTAAAAAGGCGTATTATGTGACAAGAGGTTTACAAACCTTGGGTAGAGTGAATTAAGATCTGCAATGACATTCTATAGGTATATATACAGACGTCCTTGATGTCTGTTACTACATACACTAGTCCCTGCCCGCCAGTACTTCCTGTGGGCCGCCAATTTGTCTACGCGCCCATCAAGGACGGCCCTCAGTGAGAAGCAGAAATGTTTCAAGCCCACGCGAGACGCAGTCCCATGTGAATATATACCTTGTTTTGACGTACCGAAGGATTACGACTTAAAACAACATACGTGCAATCCACACTGGCAGAAAACGACGGATCTAAAGCTTGAAACGGGAGGATAAATCACATACACAGACCTGTGCCCTGATCGACGCCGCTGTACCCCGCACCACTGATATTAGTCCACGCAAACAATCACAGGTGGAGCTAAAACTGCAACAAGTCTTCCCGTTCCGCTTCCAGTTCTGTAAATTCTTGAGACAAACACAGTTCCTCCCACGCACCTCCACATCAACCCTCTCCCCGTCTACCAAGGCGGTTCTGCCTCAGAGGCGACTCCAAGCCTTCTCAATTATAGCCTCCTCACGGGCTGTTAGCGGTTCTCGCCGCCACCACGCGACAGACCACACCGGATATCCGGTTCGACTCCGGTTTAGACCCAAAAGAGTTCCTGCGTCGGGGTCTGGGCCGGGGGCTGTGGGCAGATAGACTACACTGGGTCGTCTGGGTCGGTCTTTGGCCGTGAGCTACACCTGAGGTCTAGACATGCACGGCCGCAGTTTTGTCTCACGCAAATGTTACACTATGACGTCTGGGGAATGTCTGAGATCTAGATCTAGGAAACATAGAAGCAAAGGGTATTGACTATGACGGCTCTAATATTATGGCTACATGACGTCGTATAGCAAAGCAGAGCTGAAGCTGCTAGACATACAGGTTGGGTTTTTTTTGCGACCACAAGCAGCCCTCTGCGTACAGAGCTGGACAAAATAACAGAACGTCCGAACGTCCGAAGTCCTTCACATTGTAGTAAAAGGACACTGTGCTGTACGTCACGTAGACATCATACATATAAATATGAAAGACCGCCGGCCGCTGCATGCCGAAAGGAGTAGGAGTGCAAAGAGTCTTTCACAAGGGAAGGCTTTTCTAAAAGCCATTGATCTCTCATCAAATAAGCAACAAGGAAAAGGTTACGCTCCTGTCTCGCCGTCCAAACAATCCTTCGCCGTGTTTTCGGCGGGACAGGATATCCGGGTCGGTCTGCGAGAGCAGACCAGTGCTGACCTACAAGTGTTCCCGCCATGTGTGTGTGTGTGCGCGTCTTTGGCCGCCTCATGCCGCCGGGACAGGCCACAACAAAAGTTAAACCCTACACTAACGTAACGAGCCAAGCCGGGGAACGTGAACGCATACACACCTGCTTTTTTGGCAGCTAGCCACCGCCGACAACCTGTGCGTCCTCGTGAGAGCTGCTCGAGAGGCGACGCTGCGGCGGCCGAACACCTGTACCGTTACCCGCCGGACGGACGGAGTGTTTGAACAGGCGGCGTTCTCCAAGAAGCTCGCGCAAAACCAGACACACACGACACGATCCCGGAAATACACACTTCCGTCTGTGACGTCAGCTCGCTGGGCCGACGGCCGGTTGGGTAGGCTATACACATCAAGGCTATGACGTGCCTCGCTACGACTGTATTATCTCCGCGTAGCTTCAGCCTAAACTTTACACTTGACCCTCTTAACGTTCACCGTTCACTGTCTCTTCACATTAAGCGAGTGGGCTTACCAAACGCCAAGACATCGCCACAGACGGTTGAGTCCGTGGAATACATGTACAGAGAACTACAGAAATAGCCTTCATTTCATCCTATACATAGACTAAATACCTATCATTAAGAGTTTATCATCGCACGTCATTAATAAAACACCTTAATCACATCTACACAGCTTTGGTAGTTGACCGAACTTAAAAAAGCTTTTATACTATAGAGAGGCTAGCTGGATGTCTAAGCAATGAGACAATGGAGCAGCGCGCGGCTCTTACCGTGTTGACGCACGCCTGTACAAAGACTCTAAGACCCTTAAGAATTCCGTAAATCCAGTTGGCAGACAGTCGATCGGAACACACGTCACGTATAATTCCAGGTGTAGGCGCTGCCGTTAGGTCTGGCGGTTGTTAAACTCTGAACTGTAGTATGGTATAGTATACTCCAGATACGCGACTGATCGGTGTAAAGACAAGACAAGTACTGGGGGAACGCACCACACAGACAGCAAAAGGGGGTGAGTCGTACTGCTCAGGAAGTGGCGGTCTGAGGTGTTTAAACATGCGCAAAACCACAGGAAGCCGGGAAACACCCTCATTAAATAGTTGACGTAGATGTTGGGTGAGGTCACGGCGGGTAGGGAGCCTCGCCATTGGCCCGCGCCGCGGACCGTATCGTGTGTTTGCATTGTTGGTGTGTTACTTCATAGCTAGGCGGCGCACCTTGAGTTTCAGGGATAGTACTTGATGTATATGCGCGGAAGGGGCCTTTGGTCTTAAAACGTGAATTTTAGATGAACTAAAATAGAAAA